TGTATTCGAAGACAGAATCCTTTCATCTCCTGCATACAAGAAGCACACCTCAGCTTCAAAGACAGACATTATTTCAGAGTTAAGGGTTGGGAAAAGATTTTCCAATCAAATGGACACAAGAAACAAGCAATCCTAATATCTAAAAAATTAGACTTTAAACTAAAATCAATCAAAAGAGATTGAGGAGGACACTTCATGTTCATCACAGGAGAAAACAAACAAGATGAAGTCGCAATTCTGAACACCTATGCCCCAAATACAAAGGCATCCACGTTTGTAAAAGAAACATTACTAATACTCAAAGCAAATATAAAATCTCACACACTTCTAGAAGGAAACTTCAACACCCCACTCTTACCACTAGACAGGACCACAAGATAGAAACTTAACAATGATACAAAGGACCTAGTAGAAGTTATGACCGAGCTGGGTTTGACAGACATCTATAGAACAATCCATCCAAACACAAAAGAATATGCCTTCTTCTCAGCTCCACATGGACCTTCTCAAAAATTGACCACACATTTGGCAACATAGACAACCTCAACAGGTACAAAATAATTGGAATAACTCCATGTATCTTATTAGACCACCATGCCTTAAAGTTTGAATTCAACAACAACACATATCTCAGAAACCCTGCAAATTCATGGAAATTGAATAATGCACAATTGTAGCACTCCTGGGTCAAAGAAGAAATAAAAAAAGAAATTAAAGACTTCCTAGGATTCAATAATAATGAAGACACAGCATACCCAAACTTATGGGACACTTTGAAAGCAGTGCAAAGAGGAAATTTCATATCACTAAGTGGCCACATGAACAAACTGGAGAATAGTCACACCAGAGAATCAACAGTACAACTGAAAGCTCTAGAACAAAAGGAAACAAACACACCCCAGAGGAGCAGACGACAGGAAATAATTAAATTGAGGGCTGAAATCAATAAAGTAGAAACTAGCTGGGCGTTGGTGGTGCACGCCTTTAATCCCAGCACTTGGGAGGCAGAGGCAGGCGGATCTCTGTGAGTTCGTGGCCAGCCTGGTCTACAAAGTGAGTTCCAGCCTCCAAAGCAACAAAGAAACCCTGTCTCGAAAAACCAAAAAATAAAAAAATAAAAAAAAAGAAAGTAGAAACTAGGAAAATGATACAAAGAATCAATGTAACAAAGAGTTGGTTCTTTGAAAAAATCAACAAGTTCTTTGAAAAATCAACAAGATAGACAAACCTTTATCCAAACTTTCCAAATGGCAGAGTATGAACATGCAAATCAACAAAATCAAAAATGAAAAGGGAGACATAACAACAGACAGTGAGGAAATCCAGAGAATCATCAGGTCATATTTTGAAAAGCTATACTCCACAAAATTTGAAAATTTAAAGAAAATGGACAATTTTCTGGATAGATATCACTTACCAAAATTAATCAAGAACAGATAAGCAATTTAAATAGACCTATATCCCCTAAGGAAATAGAAGTAGTCATCAAAAGTCTCCCAAAAAAAAAGTGCAGGGCCAGATGGCTTCAGTGCAGAATTTTACCAGAAATTCAAAGAACAGGTTATAACAATTCTCCTCAAAGTATTCCATGCAATAGAAGCAGAAGAGTCTTTGCCAAACTCTTTTTACCAGGCTTCAATAACCTTGATACCCAAGCCACACAAAGTTACAACTAAGAAAGAGAACTTAATACTCAATAAAATACTGGCAAATTGGATCCAAGAACACATCAGAAAACTCATCCACCATGATCAAATAGGCTTCATTCCAGGGATGAAGGGATGGTTCAACATGAGAAAATCCATCAGTGTAATCCACCATATAAGCAAGCTGAGAAACAAAAATCGCATGATCATCTCACTTGATGCCACCAATGCCCAGCCTTAACATCTTTTGAGTATATGAAGACAAATATAACTTAATAGTTCCAATGTGCACTTCTCACCGTGGTTTTTGGTATCTGCTAGTACTTAAAAGTGTGACTCTACCCTAACTGTTTTGCAGACACATGTTACCTGCTGTTTCCACAATGTAGGTTTCAGTATAGACTGGCAATGCTAATATATATAAAACTTTTATATCTGTTTATAAACTGCAAAAAATCATGTCAACTTCAGAGAATCTATGGAGTCCTCAGACTTGAATCCTCTTCTCACAGGTCAAAAGAAGTCCAGATTTTCTCCACCTGTCTATTCCTAAAGATAGTATCTCTTCCTCTCTCCCTTCTTGGGACTACTCCCCTTCCATAATTACTAGGACTATGGGCCTGAAAGTTCTAAGTAGAGCTTTGTCTTCAACCCATAGACCATCAGTTAGCCTTTGGGTTCTGACATTGTTGATGGGCAGCTGATGCTGGCCATGAACATCTGATTCCCTTTGCCTCCACCTCTGAAGTGCTGGGATCACAGACCAATTATCTGGCCCTATGACTTTCTTTACCTCAAAGCTTAAAGGCAGGGTTGGGACTGGGCACTGGGATAAACAATGAGATGATATCTGAAGTTAAAGGATACATAGTGGAATCCAGCCATGACCGCATTGAATCTGTCTCAAGAGAAACATAGGGCTTGACAGCATTAATTGGGCTTGAGAATAGATGTATACTATGTAGAAAAGCTTCCTTGGCTGGGCCTGTTTTCTCACTTTGGATGCCTGCTTAGTAAGGGTGCTGGATTCTCAACAGAGCATAAAACTGGGTAGAGGGTCATAGGCTTCAAGCATCTGGATCTGGTCAGTCACTCTCCCCCCAGCTACAAGAAAGCCTGTCTCAAAAGGCCAACAAACACTTCCTGTGCAATATTTCATATCTCAGGTATTGTGTGTTCTTTATTTATGAAGGTATCCTAATGAGTGGCTGGTCACTGGAACATTGGTTTCTGGCTGGCTTGAATCTCGTAGATCTACCAACCCCTGCCTTCCTTCTGAGTACTAGGATTGAAGGCAAGAAATACCCAGTCATGTTCTTTGTGGATTTCTTGTTTGTTCATTTGTTTGTGTTTCCTGTGTTATATTTTTTCTTAGTACTGGAAATGAACCTAACATATTCTAAGCATTCATCATACATATATTTCTGGTGCCTTTTATTATTATTGTTATTTTAAATTTAATTTTTATAAGGACTCACTATGTAGTCCTGATTATCCTAGGACTCAGAGAAATTGACCTGCCTCTGATTCACAAGTGCTAGGTCTTAAGGCATTTACCACCTTATCTGGTTTCTAGACTCTGTTTCTTTTCTGTTTTGTTGTTGTTCTTTTTTCAAGACAGTTTTCTTTGTAGCCTTGGAGTCTGTCCTGGAACTCTCTCTGTAGACAAGGATGGCTGCAAACTCAAAGAGATCTGCCTACCTCTTGCCTTCAAAGTGCTGCGATTAAAGGTGTATGCAGCCACCTGGAATTCCTTATCTTAAACAAATGTTTTATAATGTTTGGTAGAGGACTCATTTAATATTTCTTGTTCAAAGAAAACTGCTCTTCCTTCTGCTAGACTGAGTGTGAGGCCAACAAGATGACTCTACCATTGTTGCCACTTAATCTGCAGGCATGGAGTCCTAGGTTCAACTCCTAGGTACCATGTTAAGTTACAAGTTGAGAAGCAACACCACAAACTTGTACACTGCAACAAGTATGTCCTCTCATACACACTAATAAAAAAGCATTTAAAATGAAGAATTCCCTGGATCATCTTGGGCTGAATTACTCTAGTGTCAGTTGCTGGACTGAATCAGGTGGGAAGTCCTGATGGAGCTGAGTGAATCCCAAGGTCTGGACTAGATGGAGACCTGCAACCTAAATTCCACGGAAGAGAACATCTCATCTGAGTGCAGAAGAGATAGATCCCTTGGGATCCTCTGATCTGGGTTTGTAGGGAGCTATGAGATCAGACACTGGTCCAGCTTTCTTTGAAGGTCACATTTAGGGTGTGGAAAATTGCCAGTATGCTTGAAGCACAAGTTACCGAAGAGACATTTTGTACTAATAGGTTATTAATAACTTATCAACACAAAAGAAGTCTTTTAACCCCAGGAAAGACAAAAGTAATGATTCCCCCAGATACAGTTGGATCACTGTTGGTTGGATTTCTTGATAATCAACAAGTCTCATAGCAGCATGGAGATGTCCCTACTATGACAATGATGATATCCTCCATAGAGGTAAGTTCCACTGCTCACATTTTCTAACACCTTCTTAAGGAGCATAGTATCTCAAGCTTATCTTTGGAAATTAGAAGCAGCAACGCATTGGACTTTGAGATAGGGAACAAGAAAAAATTCAGACTTGTAGAGTTATTCATACTTTGCCCACCACAAGCACATCATTGTTTTTTGATTGAATTGAAATTTTGAGAATTATAATCTAGCCAATTATGTGTCTATTGTTAAATATCATACTGGAACTGTTAATGTTTGCAACCATTGTTATGCTATTTGTTTGTTGGAGAACTGTAGTTGAAGTGGTCAATTGTAAGGGTCCCATCAAGACACTATAATCTTCAAAGAATGAAAAGGCAGTGCGTATTTGACATTGTCAGCCTGGATCAGATGTGGGGAACTCTAATGCCAGCTGTTCACTTGCAGCATATTTAAAACATAGTACAATTTGGGTGAGTGTTCCAGGCAGCAAACAGTCTAATCAATCTGATTTCAGGTGTAAAATAAATCTTAGGGTTTAACTACATAGACACTCTTTGGCAAAGTACAGGAGATCATGAGGGTGAGTTCTACAACTAAAAGGCCAAAATCTAACAAAGACCAGCTGTAATGATATATTACTTATGATTTATTAAATCTTCACTGAGAATTCAGAAAAGCAAAGTCATCCTCAAGCTATAGAGATCAGTTAGTGGTGACACATACCTTTAATCCCAGCAGCCAGAAGCTAGGCAGTGGTGGCACACACTTTTAAGCCTAGAACTCAGGATTAAGAGGTAGACACATGTCCATGAGTCCAAGTCCACCCAGATCTACACAAGACTGAATCAGTCTAAAAGAGAATTATAGCTCACACCTTTAGTCCCAGGACTAGAGGAGTACAAAAGGCAGGAGCAAGGATAGTATGGGGCATCCATTCTCCAGACATAATGAGAATAGAGGCGTTGATTCTCCAGCCACACTGAGGAGAGATTATAGTCTGAGGCTTGGTCAAATTTCCTGGAGTCAGGGTTAGCCCATTCAGCCTGAGGTAGGGGTAAGAAGCTATTGGCCACCTGCTTTGCTTTATTATATTCAGCTTGAAGTATGAACCCCAATATCAATCTCCGGGTCTTTTATTAATTTGTGTTACAGTCATCAGGTCATAAAGTACATGTGCTGTTACCTTTATAGATAGGTAATGGTCTAGGGAGAGAAGAATCTGGGAAAATCACTGTAGTAGGTTTGGGTGAAGTCTGCCTCTATAGCAGAATGTAGGTGAGGATAACAAAAGCTTACCAGGTCCTTAATAAAATCCACTCTGGGTTTTCTAGATTGAATGCAGCTATTGATTTGTATCTCCATTAGGAGGCACCAGTGCATGATTAAAATTCCTGGCATTTTTGGGGTGGTTGCTTTGGAGGCTGTCCCAGAACTCACTCAGTAGACCAGGCTGGCCTTGAACTCAGAGAGCTGCCTGCCTCTGCCTCTTGAGTGCTGGGATTAAAGGCATGCACCACCAATGTCCGGCTTCCTGGCTTTCTTGATGCTGTGAATATAAGGACCTCTGTTCTGTGTCCCAAATAATCACTAACCGTGAAAGACACCAGACAGTACCACTCCAGGGTCCTGGGGACCCACTGTATCTTCCCAGCTACCAGAACAACATTTACGAGTCTATGACTGTCTCTCTGATGCCAAATCATCACTTGGAAATGCCTGAGTGACTGACTGTATCTATCTCCTGGCCCCTTTTTGTATTGTTCTCCATGTCAACGTCCTTCTGTGATCTGAATGAACCCTTTGCACACTATTTTCTTTCCAATATATTTAACACTGTGAAGCCAAGTGCAATAGATCCTCATTAAACACTGTGAGGTCATGTGCAATAGATCCTCGTGATGAGACTAAGTTGCCATGACCTGTACAGTTTTAAGATTGACCTGAGTAGGATGATGGAAAATGAAACAGGTATTAAAATGATGGAACCTAGTGACTGTGTGTTCTGATGGAGACACACTAGCAACCTAAAAAGCTCAACACATTTATTATGTGCAATCTGGGATTACACAGTCTACATACACTCCCCACACTAGGCTTGCATTCTCACTACCAGAAGCAACCTTATCCTTCCCACAAACAGGGGCAAAGTCTGGCCTCCTGGTCACAGAAACAAAACCTAAAACATTTCAAACCGAATGGTGTAGCAAAGGAGACTTTCTTGGGCTGCCTTTCTACCTTGAGTATATCTAGCAGCTCAGGACACAGTTGTGTAAATTTGTCTCTAAGTATTGTAAATTAGTCATAGCATTCCAGACGGGCGGGGGTACAGCTCCTGGATCAGTTTTCTCATCTTGGCTGTGTGATGTAGAAGGTTCTTCAGGACAAGCATAGAGATAAAATTATGATAAAAATTGATCTTGGTGCAGCCGGGTGGTGGTGGGGAATGCCTTTAATCCCAGCACTCGGGAGGCAGAGGCAGGTGGATCTCTGTGAGTTCGAGGCTGGGCTGGACCGATAGCCTCCAAAACAATACAGAGAAACCCTGTCTCGTAAAAACCAAAAAAATAAAATAAAACTGATCTTGGTAAGCTGGGAGCACTGGGTCAGGGCAGGCAAGATGGCATTGAAATGAGGATCTGTCAAGTTGCACCTCTCCAATTCTAGAGTTTGCAGGGTACTTGAGATTCTCTCAAGCAGAACCACAAGAAGCTTAGGGCACCAATCACACAGCCCTACACCACTCAGGTCCAGATGTTTAGTGCACTGATATTCTGGCACTGGCTCAGGTAATCCAGGTCTGACTGTGAGAGACAGCAGTCAGTGATTGACAGGGTTACCAAGGGGTTGTTAAGGCACCTAGGGAGAGATCAAGAGTTTAGTTATGCCATATGGTATTGAGGAAGATTGGTGGGATTGAAAACAAGGCAGATGATGCTTTCCCCAAATTTAGTCGACCCCTAGATGGATTCAGATTCATCCTAGCAGTGTTCCGAAGAGTCCCCTTGTGAGTATGATATGTACCACAGTCATGTCCCGGATCCCCAGCTTTAAGCCTAGGATCATATATTTACCATCTACTCAACTCCTTTCACACATGAGCAATTACAGGCATGGTGGTGCCTGTTCATACTTGTCTGGGCACAGAGCTCCTCTGCTGGCTGTCCTATGTCTCCACTACTGCTAGGTTGACAGTGGGCAGACCATCATGACCCCCCTACCCTGTAAAGAAAAGGATGTGTTTGATATGCTCTGGAGGAGCCTCTCCATCCTTCCTTACCTGAACCACTCTTCAAGGCAGCCTGTTAAAAAGTAGATGTCATGTGCATAGAGGTTCTGGAGACAGGGGAGTTTGGAGAACTGAGACAGCAACAGGCATATCCATCCCGGCTCTGCAGAAGCATCAACCCTGAAGGGCCTCTGAATTCTTTCTAGGATGAGGGTGTGAAGATTTCTCATCTGTCCCAGGTAAGGAAAAATGTGTGCCATGTATTGAAGAGACCACTGACTCAACTGCAGCTCCCGGATGCAGTCTACGCCTATGATTTTGAAGAGCTGTGTAGCAGTGAAGACAGGTGGATGGCACATGTGCAGCTTCCTACAGCACAGATGAACGGAAGCTTCTCGCTGCTTGGCCCACTGCAACAAGTAGGTGGCAGATTCATTGAAACTGGCCATCCTGACTTTGAGATCAGTTACTACTGTGAAAGGCTTCTTCTGCCCAGAGTTGGGACACATCTCCACTGACTGCTGCTGCCTCATGGCTTGTAGTGAGCAGTCACCTTCACAGCTTCCAGCATTGAGGCTCAAGAAGTCAAGGTTGACATTTGTCAAATCAAGCATTCTGAGTTTTGACCTGTTGGTAAACAGGAAGAATCCCCAGAAGATGAGACAAGACACCTCTTACAATACACTTCTTGTCTACATAACACGTCAGCTTTCCCTTATAAATCTTTGCTTTGTCCCAGGCCTTCGTACTGAGTGAAAATGGAACTTGGCCAGGGAAGCACCTGTAGCCCAGTCTCACGTCCCTCTACTCTGTTCCCGTTAACCCCAGCCTCTCTCCACTTGGGACTGTGGGCCTGGCAGAGAGAGGACTATTCCTCGGTGGCTACATCTACTCTTGTGTCCTCCACATTTGCCATCCCTTGCCCAGATGGCTGACATCTGCCCAAACCTCTACAGTTCTCTAGCTGATGCTGTAAGAAGCCTCTGGTCTGTCTCTGGCCAAATACTCCTGTCCCCCATCCCCGTCCCCCCCCCCCCCCCGTGCCCCCCTACCCTGTTGTTCCTTCTCTGCACCACAGAGCCTTCCTCCATCGTAACTGGGCCCTGCTTGTTGGGAGCCAGTCTCAGATTGCCACCTAGGACAAACAGAGCTTCTGGCCACAGGACCAAGCTAATTAGATCAGTTATGCAGCCAGTTCCTAGAAACCTTATAGTTGCCCTTAACAAGAAATAATCCTCCCCTATCATGCTCAAACCCAGACGCTAAACATAACCTTTAGGCACAGTTACCAAGGCAACCTTTTTTTGTACCTTTTGCACCCTGTCAGACATGCTCTTTTTGTGGCCTTTTAATATCCTGCCTTTCTTGCAGCTACATGCCGTCTACCCCCAAAAACCTACCCTCTTCAAACCTGCTTCACCAACTATATAGCTAGCTCAGCAAAAAATAAAATTACCACTTGATCAGAATCCTGTCTTGTGGTCTTTTCTCTTGTCTTCTGCCCCAGTATTTTCATTCCTCACAGGTCTCCGCTCCACATTCAGTCCCCGCCTGCCCAGGACACATGCTTACCTGGGATGAACCCTCTCTGTAATCAACACATTTAGTCCATCAAGCACAGCTTTCAGAGTCTCCAGGTGGGAGTCACATCTCAGGTCTCCTGCTGGAAGGCATGGGAAAGGCCAAGCAGGCACCATGGCCCTCAGGATGTTTGTAACTCTGAGACTGAAGGCCTCCTCAAAAATCTTCGGGAACAGCCCCACAGGAAGGTCCTCCAGAGCAGAGATGATCAAGGCCTCCTCCCTCAGCAGCCTCCAAAGAGCCAGTTGCATGAGTGTGGGTTGGTCCCTGGATCCCATTCTGAGGCAATAACTTCAAAAGGAGGTGTCCTGGAAACAGTTGTCGAACTCTCAGTCGGAGAAAAATATTGGGCTGTGATTCTCGTGGCGATTTCTGTTTGTTCTTCTATTCCATTTTTTTTCACATTAATGAAATTTTCCTTAAAATCTATACTGACAGCCGGGCGTTGGTGGCGCATGCCTTTAATCCCAGGACTCGGGAGGCAGAAGCAGACGGATCTCTGTGAGTTCGAGACCAGCCTGGACTACCAAGCGAGTTCCAGGACAGCCTCAAAAGCCACAGAGAAACCCTGTCTCAAAACCTCCCCCAAAAAAATAAAATAAAAGCTATACTGACATTCAAGTGAGAGGTATCGGTAAGAAACCATCCCCTGAGATAGGGACACTGGCCATGACCTCATCTCCAGAAACAGCAGCACTTCCCAAATCATTCATGTCATTCACATAAGTACAAATAGTGAAATCTTACCCAACAATAAAATTTCACGTGCTATACATGTGTCATCAAGAGTGGGCTTGAGTGTCTGGTAACGAAAACTTTTAATAAGAAAGAGCTGAAATAGTTAAAACAGCTCAATGTTTCAAAAAACTCACAAGAACTAGGTAATAGATGTTGAACAATAACTGACCATAAAAATATATCAATTTTTTAAAAGAAATACGCAGTTAGACTTGGATGATTCTATCTTAATCAAGGATGGTCCTAGGTTTTGATTGACCAAGGACAATTTTGTGTTTCGATTAACTCTGGATGATTTCATGTTTTGTATATCTGAGTTTCTGTGCCAAGTAACAATAATGTTATATATTTGGGTTTGTTTGTCACCCCTGAATTCTTAGGACCCTCATCCCAGGGACTCCCATACCTGGCTGGGGTAGGCCATGGCAATGAATGACTCATATGTAACTAACCCCAGAATTTCCTGGAGTTCAAGGTCATCCTGACATTCAGAGTGGGGCTCTTTCTAAACACAGAAACTACAGACTCAAATAATGACTTTGATATTAAAAAAAAACTCACTGGAATTCACAGCAGAATCTGTGAATTCCATCCAGACCAGGCATGGTTATGTCTGAAGCTCTTATCTAAAAAAAAAAAAATCAGCAAACTAAAAGAGATGTAAATGGTCCACTGAGCAGAACCCAAGCCTAGACTCTGCTGGGTGAGATGCAGTATGTTGATGAAGCTAAGGACTTACCTGATGTGAACACTGGCAGCAGGTCTCCACATCCCAGCAGGAATAGGCAGTGACTCCAAGGGACTGCTGGCTCCAAGACCTTGAAGGTTTCTCTGATTACGCTGACCCTGGCACACCTTTCCCAGAACCTCCCTTCTCCTTTTTAGACACTCACCTGCCAGTCAAAGTCTGCAGTCTGACTGAATAATTGAAACTCCACCCAACACTCCCTTTGTGATTTAGATGTTATCCAGGTGCATGAGATCAGATATCAATCCTGGAAAAGAACTTAGACTAGAACAATAGTTACACCCTCACTCATTTTGGTTGGTTGGGACGAAGGACATTTTCTTTTTTTTAAAGATGTATTTATTTATTATGTATACAGTGTTATGCCTGTATGTATGCCTGCACCCCAGAAGAGGGCATCAGATCTCATTACAAATGGTTGTGAGTTGCCATGTGGTTGCTGGGAATTAAACTCAGGATATCTGAAAGAGCAGTCAGTACTCTTAACCACTGAGCCATGTCTCCAGCCCGATGAAGGGCATTTTCCACAATGTCTGGATAATTGTAAGGCTTTAGATATATAAAGATAGCTGGGGATTTGTGGCTCAAGCCTTTAATCCCTGAATTCTGAGTTCAAACCCAGTTTGGTTTACAGAATGAGTTTCAGGATGGTCAGGACTACATCCTCCAGGTAGTGACCGCTTGGACATCATCATGAGAACAAGTCTCAAAACAGGAAGGAAAAAGGCTGGCGTGAGGCCGGGTTAGTACATACAGTTCCTGTGCAGCACGTGTCTGGTCTGTGGGTTGATCCTAAGTACTCCTTAAAACTGGTTGTCCTGGAAGCCTGTATCCCACCAATATGAGGCTTAGTGAATTGAAATTGATGAGATGAATCCTTGCCTGGGTGATGGTGTAGTTCAGGACAACATGAGATCTTGGAAAATGGAAAAAGAAAGAGAGGATGCGGAGGAGCAGAAGAGGGGGGAGAAGAAGGAAGCATGACAGTCTGTGAGACACAAGCATGTAAACCCAGCACTCTGGAGACCAAAGAAGGAAGAAGCTGTCCAGGTCAAGCATGGCTAGAGTTCATCTTGTCCTAAAAAGGCCAGTTGAAGGAGCGGGGGTATTACTCAGCCCTAGAGTGCTTACCTGGCATGTACAAGGTCCTGATTTCAATTTCCAAACCCCATGTGCTCCATAAAGAAATAGAGATATGGCGTTGGTGGTGCACGCCTTTAATCCCAGCACTCGGGAGGCAGAGGCAGGCGGATCTCTGTGAGTTCAAGACCATCCTGGACTACCAAGTGAGTTCCAGGACAGCCTCCAAAACCACAGAGAAACTCTGTCTCGATAAACCAAAATACAAAAAACAAAAAGCAAAAAAAAAAAAAAAAGAAAGAAAGAAAGAAAAGGAGCTGAAAATACAAAGAGGAAAAGGGAAAATCAGAATGAAGAATTCCCTCACAACTCTGTGAGATTACATCCTGGATACGACATTGTAAACTAGGAAATTTGAGTGTTTGTGTTTTGTTGAGATAAGGTCTTCTGTTGACCAGAATGACCATGAAGTCCCAAGGTGGCTGAGGGTGGCCTTGAACTTACCACCTCTTGCCTAACTTGCCAAGTGTTAAGAATAAAAGTTACAGCCAGGCAGTGATGGTGCATGACTCTTTAATCCCACCTCTCTGGAGTACAGGAGGGCAGCTCTCTGAGTTGGGGCCTAGCCTGGTCTGCTGAGTGAGTTCCAAGATAGCCAGGGCTACATAGAGAAATCCTGTCTTGAAAAAAACAACATCAGAATGGAGAATTGTACATCATTCAGCCTGGGTCATGCATTTCTGGGGATCCAACCAAGGCCTCCTGTGTGTTAAGTAAGTGTTCACCCTACTCTGCCACATTCCCAATCTTCAACCCTAGATTCCAATGTTTACCCCTTCTGCTGCTACCCTACAAGAAAATGAGTTTGAAATGACCCATGTAGTCTCTGACTTTGTTGGATTTGAGAAACTTCTATTTGTTTTCTTCTTTTGGGGGGTGTGGGGTGTTGGTTTCAAGACAGGCTTTCTCTGTCGCTTTGGAGGCTGTCCTGGAACCAGCTCTTGTAGACCAGGTTGGTCTCCAACTCACAGAGATCTGCCTGCCTCTGTCTGCCGAGTGTTGAGTGTGCCATCACCACCCGAATTTCTTTTCTTTTTTTTTGGTTTGGTTTGGTTTTTCGAGACAGAGTTTCTCTGTATTGCTTTGGGGCCTGTCCTGGTACTCACTCTGTAGCTGAGGCTGGTCTCTACCTCCCACGTGCTGGGATTAAAGGTGTGTGCCACCACTGCCTAGCTTTGTTTCCTTCTCTTGATTTTGGATACTAGATCTCACCATGTAGCCCAGTCAGCCCACTGCTGAGCTCTAGATGTCCCTGCCTCAGGCTCCATAGTGTTAGTGCTCCCAGCTACATTTCTGCATCTTGAAATCCCGCTGCTGGGCGTTGGTGGCGCACGCCTTTAATCCCAGCACTTGGGAGGCAGAGGCAGGCGGATCTCTGTGAATTCAAGGCCAGCCTGGTCTACAAAGTGAGTTCCAGGACAGCCTCCAAAGCCACAGAGAAACCCTGTCTCGAAAAACCAAATCCCGATGCACTTTGCATAGCCTGTTACTATAAAGCACGTGGGGTGACATAGGCAGAGGGACAAAATGCCAGGCAGACAGAACTTACTGAGAAGTTTTATTAGAAAGGCAGTGAGGGGGAGCAAAGATAAAGAGGCACAGAGGCATGGAGAAAAAGAGACCCAGAGAGGACAGAAAAGGGAGACAGGAAAAGTCCTGTCTGTCCCAGGGGAAAGAGACAGGGAAAGACAGGGAAAACAGAGAGCATTACTGGATAGAGGTCTTTCTTTTCTTTCCTGTCTTTGTTTGTTTGTTTTGTTTTGTTATTTGAGACAGGGTTTCTCTGTGCAGCTTTGGAGCTTCTCTGGGATCTAGCTTTTGTTGACCAGAGTAGTCTCAAATTCACGGAGATCCACCTGCCTCTGCCTACAAGTGCTAGGATTAAAGGCGAGCGCCACCAGCCCATGTTGAGGTCTTTCTTTTAAAGGGGTCCTTTGCACCTGCATACAGACTATGCAACCATAGAACCCTGGACTGCCCAGGGTACTGCCTGAATTCATTCTGCCACGTGACATGGACAGGCCAGCAGAATGGCTGAATCGTTACACCACCATCTTCTGTGATTGCCACACCTAATGCTATTCATAATGTAGAGGAGGCCCCAGCATCCACACTATTCTATTCAATATCTCAGACACAAGCTTGGCTTCCTACTTGGAATCTTTCCCTCCATCCTTAAACCCTTGTTTCACGGTGCAGAGGAACAGCATGCAGACCTTCTGGCATGCTAGGCAGGAGCTCAAATGCCAGGCAGGGCACTGCACACCGCTAATCCCAGCACACGTCAGTCACAGTAGGTAGATCTCCATGTGTTCCAAGTGGCCTTGCTATACATAGTAAGTTCCAGGAGAGCCAGGGAAATATAAAAAATCCCTGTTCAAACAACAACAAAAGACAAAAGCATACCTCCTCAGATAGACAACCACAAAGTCTTCTCTCACTTCTCAGTATCCTCCACCCTTCCTGTGCCTGTAGCAAGAGGCAATGACTTCATCCATTGATGCACGGCCCAGGAGCAGTGCTATGCACCTGGAGGCCCCTCCCTCGGAATGGGCAAGGACTCTCTAGAAGTCTTCTTACTGAACTGGCTGTCCTGCCCTTTGACCCCATTCTCACTAAGACAGGTTCTCCTGCAACCCACGCTTCCCTGGA